GAAAGGGGCGTTCAGTGCGCTCAGCAAACCAACTGCCAAGCAGTTTATTTTTATGGCGGTTCTTTCCTGTTGGGTTTACTGGCCCGATGAGTCCCGTAGTAGGCACTAATTAATGGCACAGCTTTCTGTCGCGCTCTCGATCCGTGGGTGCACCGAGTCTGTTCCATCTGATTTTAATTAACTAAAAATCAAAGCTCCTCGTTTGGGGAAAATTGCAGATGTGAATTCGGTGGCCTCGCTGATCTCTTTGAAAGCGGATCGAGCAGATCTTGGCTGCGGTCCACCCGGGGTCAGCCTTTGGGGGGGAACCTGGGCAGCTGTGGCGGGCGGGAGAGGGGTGGCGAGCGCCGCGTCTTTTTTCGCTCCTGCTGGCTTGCACTTTTTCTCTTTTGAGCTATTCATTTTTTTCCATGGAAAAGCCAAAGAATTTTCAGTCTTCCAACGTAAGTAGTGAAAAACAAACGTTTCCCGTAGGGACGTTTGGTTCCCCGCTGCTTTGGAGTCCGGTCCGTTATCTCAAGCCTGCGCAATTTCTGCTCTTCGAGCTGGGGCTGCTTTGCAGCGCCGTGTGCGGGCTGGGCCACTGGCAGTGAGGGCAGTGCAAAACCAAGTCTATTAAACTTTGCTTTTGCACTGGGAAAACGCAAACAATCATCCTGATTTCGGAGGGGGAAGGGTTATGTGTTAATAAGCCTAATTTTCTGAGCAAACCCCCCGTTTTGGGTTTCTTAATCTGATGTCCTGTTTTAGAGTACTACGCGTGAACGGCTTTGTTTTTCATATACGCCTTTCCTTAACACTGCACTGCTGTTGGGGGCGAGGGGGGAGTTTCAGCTGCAAAATTTCACCTCGTCTAATTTTTTTAGCCAAAGGACAGAATCGGCTTGTATTGCCCCATTTTAAACGTGCGTCTCTAAGGGGTGGAGAGACACGAGCGCTTGCCCTGGGTGGCGACTCTGTCCCGGGCTCGGAGCAGTCGTGTCCCCGTCGGACGCTCCCCGGGGCAGGCGGTTCCCCACGGAAGCACTTGAGCCCGTTGTCACTTGGGGGTGACGTTACCCCGTCGCTGAACTGAACCAAAGCGCCGGGTGGGAGAAGTTTGGTCTTTCCCGTCTGTAAATGCCACGAGCAGTTTTATTCAGCTGGCCCCGATTCCCGTCGGGAAAATAACTCACAGCCATACGCAGCTCCAGAGAAATGCCGACGCCGCCTTTTGGCTCTTGCTAACCAAAGCAGGACTTTGGGCATTCGCCTGGGTCTCCAGCCTGGCGGGTATCTCCTTGGGAAGGGGCTGCTCATTGGGGATGAGTCAAGGCCACGCGGTGGGCCAGGAGACAGGACAGGCTTCTGTGGCGACCGTTCGGAGGGAATGCCTCTGCTGCTGCTGCTTGAGGAGGTGGAAACTGAGGCTGGCTGCAGGTTGAGGCCGGTCCGAGGCTGTAGTGACCTGCCCGAGGCAGTCCATAGAGAATCACAGAATCACAGAACGGCCAAGGCTGGAAGGGACCTCTGGAGACCATCTAGTCCAACCCCCCTGCTCAAGCAGGGTCATCTAGAGACGTTGCCCAGGATCACATCCGGGTGGGTTCTGAATAGCTCCAGGGAAGGAGACTCCACAACTTCCCTGGGCAACGCGCTCCAGTGCTCAGAACCCATGGCAGGGTTCAGCGTTCAGGCATCTCAGGGGTGAAGTACCAGCTCATAAAGTCATGAGGCGCCATTGCTTTGTAAGCAAAGCCATCCAAGCAGGTGGGTGCCACTTGCTCTACTGCGCTTGCTCAGGTCCTGCGTGGAAACAAGGTTGGAGCACGCAAACCTGGGGCACGTGCTTGGTCACATTTTAGTATTTATTTGCGTGCAGAACGACACCTGAGGCCTCGTTCCCCTCCTGCCCCGTGCCCTCGAGCCCATTGCAGCAGGGCTTACATGAGCAGAGAGTGAGAAGTGCTCCTGTTCAGCTGATTTATTTTCAAAAGAGGAAACAGCCTCTGGGTGAGAGGGAAAGCAGGCCCAGAGATGACCCGATAAATCAAGGGGGAAAGCTGGCAGCCCAGCTCGGTGCTCCAGCCGTGGCTGACCTGCTGTGTCGCCCTCCTCGGCATGTGTTTCCCTAAGAGCAGTGGTGAGTGGATGGTTTGCAGAGCTCGTCCCTCTTACAGTTGTTTTACAGGCGGTACACGGGTTAGGAAACCATAATCCAGAATGTGCCCAAAGTAAATTTGAAGAGGGCGAAAATCCCAGCAGGATGGGGTAGTGCTGGAGGACTGCGGAGTGGGATCTTGGGGGAGTACTGGGGGCTGGCCTCCAGCGTGACCTGAATGAAGGGACAGACTGTGTCCTCAGCACCCTTTGCTGATGATCCCAAGCTAGGAGGAATGGCTAATACCCCAGAGGGCTGTGCTGCCATTCGGAGGGACCTTAACAGGCTGGAGAGGTGGGCAGAGAGGAACCTCCTGAAGTTCCACAAAGGCCAGCGCAGGGTCCTGCCCCTGGGGAGGAATAACCCCAGGCACCAGGACAGGCTGGGGGCTGAGCTGCTGGAAAGCAGCTCTGCAGAGAAGAATGGTAGCCTGGGCTGCATTAGGCAGAGTGTTGCCAGCAGGTGGAGGGAGGTGATCCTGCCCCTCTCCTCAGCCCTGGGGAGGCCTCACCTGGAGTGCTGTGTCCAGTGCTGGGCTCCCCAGGACAAGGGAGACATGGAGCTCCTGGAGAGAGTGCAGCAGAGGGCTACAAAGATGAGGAGGGGACTGGAGCATCTCTCCTTGGAGGAAAGGCTGAGGGAGCTGGGCCTGTTCAGCCTGGAGCAGAGAAGACTGAGGGGGGTTGTCATCAGTGTGTACAAGTATCTGAAGGGAGGGTGTCAAGAGGATGGGGCCAGCCTCTTCTCCGTGGTGCCCAGTGATAGGACGAGAGGCAACGGGCCCAACCTGAAGCACAGGCAGGTCTGCCTGAACATGAGGGAAAACAACTTTCCTATGAGGGTGACTGAGCACTGGAGCAGGTTGCCCAGGGAGGTTGTGGAGTCTCCATTCTTGGAGATATTCCAAAGCCTTCTGGACAGGGTCCTGGACGATGTGCTGTAGGTGACGCTGGTTGAGCAGGGGGGTTGGACTAGATGATCTCCCGAGGTCCCTTCCAACCTTGGCCTTTCTGTGATTCCGTGACTGTCTGCCTGTAAGTTTATTTCCAGGAGAAATCTGTGGTGCCGGAGCTCCCTAATCAGCCTACTGCCAACAGGAGCGTAAAAGCAGCAGCGTGGAGTTGAGCACTTCTCAAGCGCAGCTGTCGCAGCCCAGCCAGGTCTTAGCTTTACCCCACGAGCTAGGAGCCCAGAGCGTTCGCCAGGGTTATGGCAGCGTCTTGGACGAAGCGAGCGCTGTTGCCTTCCTCTGCTTAATCGCAGAGCCCTGATGGCAAGTCCATCGCACCGCGTTAGCAGTCTATATCCTGAAATCAGCTCTGGTCCTGCAAGTGTAGATGGGTAAGAAAGTTGGAAGGAGCGTGGCGCTTGGAGAGTTTGCTAGTCTAAGTCTTTACCAACTTCAGCTTTGGAGGTAAGAGTTGTTTTCCTGATCAAATGGAGAGAGCTTGGTGCCAAGAAAACAGAGTTAAAAAGCTTTGGGTTAAAGTATTCCTAAATGACTATGTCATCAAGGTACGCGTGTTTCCGGGGAGCTGCTCCTACCTGCGACATCCCAGGTGGTGGTGCCCCTTGGTACAACAGGCAGCTCTGCTGCATGACTCTACAGAGAAGTTCACAACTTGCTGTGAGACCTCTAAAAACTAGTTCAGGCCATTTTCTTCCTTCAGCTCCCAGCTCCGCACATTTTGCGCTTTTGCTTAGCAACGCCATAGTTTCCTGGCAAACACCAGGTTTTCACTCCCGCGGGGTGGAGGACGCAGAGCCGCAGAAGGTCCAGCTGCAGAGCTTTGACACTGTCCTCAGAGCGGCCAGCCGCATCCCCGTCCAAGGACCTCTCTGGTTGCTAATAGTTACACAGAAAGAGCACAACTTAACTTTCGGCTGCCACCCTGAGCTTGCGGTGCTGGTACTGGGAGAAAGCTTGTGAACGGTGCAAATTTGATAGCGTTACTGAGGAACAGTCCCAAGCGCCGAGCTGTTTTTTCCCCCTAGCCACGGAGACTCGTTTTGATTTGCACCTAGCCATAAACTGCATCAAGGTCTTCCGTGAGTTCGGAGTAAGGCTGTTTCAGGACCCCTGCGCTCAGTTTAGCACGCGAGTGGCTGATGACTTCCTTTGCCTGTTTAACATGCTGCTGAAGTGCAGTATGTACCATCCGGGCGCTCCAGGCGTCCTCCAGATCTTTAATTTTTGCTTGATGAGCGCGTGAAGCGCATCGCTGAGCTGTGGAAAGCTCTGCTTTATCGGCATGGCCGTGCCAGCGCCGGCTGAGCCCGCTGCGCCAAAGGAGCCCGTGCAATGCAAAATTTGTGGTGTGCGGGGGGATGTTACGGCATGTCGGGTCAAAGTCCGTGCAGCTGGCGGATTTTGTGCTGGACTGATGCCTCCGAGGCCGCTTCCCCGTGCCTGCGGCATCCGCGGCTCCCGGGGCGCTTGGCAGCACGGGGCG